TGGGAAGCCTTAAGCTTTTATTTCAAGACATCACTCTATGGAAATAATTCATTCCTTATCACTTCCCTGTAGTCATGCAGTCAGATAAGGGACTGGCAAGTGCTGATGCACATGTTGGGCAGATGGATTTCACAGCTGCTTCCAGGGCACAGAAGGAATTCAGGGATGGCAAAACACACAGTAATACCTGAGCAAATCCTGGAAACCACGCAGCAAAGTTGGTTGGTCTATACACAGGAATTTTGAGTGGTACCCTAAGAAGGGTGCCCATAGGGTATGAAGTTTTACCTCCAGGAAACTTGTAAGTACTTGCTTTCTTCATGGAGAATATGCCCACAGGGAAACTCTACAGCTTATATCATCCCATCTCATTACTTTTACAAGTAGAAGAACCCACCAGAAGGATTTTACCTGTGCGGGTCCCTTTGTCTTGTGTTTTCCTGCCCTGATTTCACTTAAGGAAAGGAGAGTTTGTTTTCTTTTCTTAAGTGAGCCCAAAATGCTATCCAGAATCAGATTGTGGTTGCAAGTGAGGCCAGAACATAACCCGTCTTTTATATTAATGCCCTTGGGGGCTGAAATGGCATTATTTTAAACTGCAGAGAGGTATATCAGTATGATAGTTGTGGATTGCAGAATGGACTTGTTTTACAATAACCCCCATAGTCGTAACCAGAGCTTCAGTGTGCTGAACACGAGCCCATCTGTGCTAGGTGCCTGCAGGCAGTGGGAGCCCACCAGAGCTGCCCATGGGCAAGAAAAGGCAGGAGCAGGTACAGGCACGAGCAGCAACAGAGTTGGCGCATGTTTATCATTCTACTGTGCAGCTCAAAGGAAAAAAACTATCAGTAACTCTAGTAGGCTGTCTGACTAGGTCTGTATGGAAATGAGTAAAAGGCTGTCAAGAGAAAGGCAGAAAGGCAGGAGGAGGGTCTGTTGGGGAGCTGTAGGAACACTGTAGTTAAACCTAGCACATCTTTGGCTTGGCATGGCCTCTGGCCACCTGGAATTTCTTTCTTACCCTGGTGTCTGCCCAGTCAAGTAGATACGAGGTGTCCTCGGGCTCTCTGGTGAGTCACCTGCAGGTCCTGGCCCAGCGTGTAACCAACACTCAGTGCAGGGCACCCAGCCAGAGGAGCAGTGCAGGGTGGTGCCTCGGGGTGGTGAGCTGATGAAAATTAAGCTGGTGTAGGAATGGCTTAGTATATGTGAGTAACTGTTGAAGCATAAATTCATGCTCATCTCTTAGCTTCTCTCTTAACCTTGTGCTTCCCAAGCATGAGCCCTGTCCCATGGGCTGGGCTTTAACAGTGTAAATGCTAGCCAGGTTAGGGGTGGATCCCCAGGTTTAGACCTTGGGCTGAACATGCTGTGTGGACACCACCTCAGCGCTCGAACTGCATGTGTTCAGGTTTCTGCCTCAGCAGGTGTAACCCATAAACAGACAGCCAAGCAGGCAGCAGTAAGCAAGCATGTGCAGAGTCTTTCCCAACCAGTGACCCTTTGCCAAAGTAAATTACCTTCAGTTGTCATTTAAATGAGAATAAGCTTCACTGATTACTTTTTGCATAATCATTCAGAATGAAAACAGATGTTCCTCAGCCCATGTTTAAAGCTGCAATGCACATTTAAAGGTAGGCAAGTCTTGTTAGTGAATTAGTTTATCTGAAAAAACATATCTGGTAATGATAATGAGAGTATATTTCTGAATCAGAAACCATTTCCCAAGCTGTTAGACATAGCCATATGCAAATTGCCATTCCAGTAATATTAAAGTTGTCCCAGCATGAGTCAAGCTTTGGTTGTTGTTTTTAAACAGCAACAGTAACTTCCCCTCAGGAAAACTGCTCTGAATCACTGTTAGGTTTGGGTGAGTGTTTTAAAAGAAGAATTTTCTGGCTTTAATTATTTTAATTTTACTTGCTTGCTACCTTTACATTTCTTGTTGTGACACGTTTTCAATCTACAGCCAGGAATCTGGGTTGCAGTGATATATTAGACTTCAGAAGGAAGCAAGTCACTCTATCTAAATCATCTGAGAAATTCTTTTTTGTTTTCCAATCTGTTTGAAATTGTCAGGACATCTCCTTTTCCTCCCAGCTTATAGACCTGAAGCATTAGCATCCCCACAAATATATGTTGCTTCCTGCTGAAAGAATATTTATAGCATTTCTGACCTTTGAATGAACTTCTACGAATCAATAACAGCAAAGTGGAAAGAAGGTCAGCAGCAGTTTTCCTCTTGACCAAGTGTTGCCAGTGTTAGGCTTGGAATATCTAAGATATATTAGGAACTATATTAGAAACTACCATAACCACATTTATGCAGCATTTTTGCAGGAAATTTTAAGATTTCTTCAGCACTGTTTTGGACTTGTCATCTCAAAGATACAATACAAGATCAAAGCCAGTGGTGTCATTGATGATTTCTAAGTTGTTGTGTATCAATTTTTACATGGCAGAACTTCTACAAGAAACCTTAAGAGACAGTTTAATAATATTTTTAGCTAAAATTTTGCCACAGGGCAAATGTAAGTGAATTAGAAACTGTTCTCGTTAATGGCTTACTGCAATTGAAACACCATTCATTTAGTCCTGCTCCAGATTGCAGAAATAAAATTGACACAGTCACCCCTAGATGTGTGAGCACAAGCAGCCACGTGAGATGCTTCAAGGCAAGGTTTGCCCGTTCACAGTCTTCTCCCTATGACCCTACAACTCAAATATTCTAAAGGACCTATCCTAATTTCTCAAATTTCTGAAGCTCCTTCCAAAATTGAAGTGTTCCCATAATGAACTAGACATCTCAATGCTGTTAGCTGCCTCCTTCTTAAGGGGAAATTAATTTCCCTTCATTTCACTGCCTAAAAACTTAATTAAATCCTTTCCTTCTCCAGAGCTGGCACCTCTAGAAAGTGCTTCTTGCACTCTCTTTTGCCTACCATGGGATCCTGGCCAATTAGTTCAGATTGTAACCATAAATTAGAAGCCTAAATTCCGGATGCATTGGGTTAAGTGAGATGAACCCCATTGCTAGGGGTGACAGTAATAGCTCTCACAGAGTGAGAGGTCTTCTACACTCTAATTGAGTGAATTGTTTCAGTCAGGACTGCCATTTATGCCTTTCCATAGAAGTAGCAAAGCAGAGTCTTGCTCTTTGCTGGATCCTTCTGGTGTTGCTGTAAATACACAGGGCTCCTGTTTTCAAATGCAATGTTTTTATTCTGAAAATACCTCTCATAATAGCTCTATTTTTCTCCAGTATTTTCCTGATTGAATTGTCTCCCAATGGAGAGACAATAACTACACTAACCTTCACAAATGTCAAAGAAACTTTTGATAGCAGCTCAAAAGAGTTTTCATAAGTTTCTTTTTCTATGTCTGTGTCATTTGAAGATTGTGTCTGCTCGTTCAGCCAGCCGTGCAAATATGTCTAAAAATACAGAGAAAATGAAACAAATTTACTGAAGTTTGACAACTTCCGTTTGATCAAAAGTTGTTTGGTCAAATGTATTTTAAAAGTCAGGAAATAAAGATATTTTTAATGGATGCTATCATATTTATTATTATTATTATTATTATTATTATTATTATTATTGTTAGGTTCCTGAAGAAGAACAAAGGAAAAGACATTGCCACACAAGTTCTACATGAATTGTTAATGTCAACTTTGAATTTCCTTGTTTTTTCCTAGTTTATAAAACATCCTTAATATAGAATTGTTTTGTCTGAGAATAAATCCTGTGTTTATTCAAATTCTTAGATTCATAGTATTAAAGAATTATTTACTTCCTCTCTCCACATACCTATTTCCCCCTTTTTGCTTCTTTTTCTAATTTCTTTCAAGGGCCAATGTACTGCTTCATGTACATCTTCAGTGCTCTTAAACAAAAAGTTGTCTTATCATTTCACTGTTCTCCAGAATTTGCATTCCAGCTTCCAGCACTCTCTAATCAAGTGAATTTTCCTATGTCTTACTCTTATTCCTAACACATTTTGAGTACTTTGAAGAATTCTATAAAGCAGGAGAAAAACTGAAGTCCTGATGTTACACCTAGGTCAGATCTCAACACTATATTGGTTTCTAACCCATCTGTCTCTAGTATAAAATTAAGACATGTTTGATTGAGACTGAATAACAAAATCAACTGTTTGTTGCACCAATTCAGTAGACAAAATACATTAATAGTAAAATTTCTGATGAAATTCTAGTTTATTGGTTCACTAAGGCTCCAGCAAGAAACTAAAAAGAGTTCATCTGTCAATAGCACATGGATCTGAAAAAGCGACAAGGTTACATGGACAGCAGGACAGATCCATCTGCTTTGGAACTAGCTAGAAACGAAGCCTATGGCACAGCTGGGCGATGACAAGGGAGTTTCAGCTTCTGCTGATTTTTCTGAATCACTGACACTGCCAGTGTCAATGTATGTCGATGTGGATTACACCACCACCAGCAGTATTGTCCACTCATCATTTCTTCAAAACTGTATGACAAGTGGAACTGCTCATTATTTTTGCTTATCTAAGGCTGGTGAATGCCCTTAAGAGCTACTTCAGTCTGTTTTGTTGTTTTCATGGCAGTGTTTAAAAACCATAGGTCATTTGTCTGTGTGACGAGGTACATGTTGTCTCTTACGATCTGTTTTCTCTCACGGTTTCACCTTACATTTTTAGCAGCTCCTCCATTTGTACAGTCCATGTGGCTTCCTACCTTCACGCTGTAGTGTTTGGGAGGCCAAGCTCATTACCTTGATTCCTTAGCTCTTCTGTAGTCCATGCAGACAAGGCTCAGATGCTTCTTTTCTCACAAATGTCTGCGTACTCCCAGCTACCAAACACCTTGACTGAATCTGCAGTCAGTACCAGAATTTGAGCCAGATATTGGAGCTGGTTTAATGTCAAAATAGACCAGTCGTGCGCAGGCAACTTCTCACACATGTCACAAATACAGGAGGATGGGCTGGTCTCACTAAGAGCATGCAATTTGGTGATTTCAGAGAATGACGAGGAGCAGGAGGCTCTGCTGTCACTGGACAAGCCCGGCTGGTATTCCCAAGGTAATTCTGTCCAGCTCTTTGATCTGCTGAAGAAGATGACTGGCAAGCTGGATCCCAAGGTATGTTTAGAGTAAATCTTTCTGAAAATACTGTTTCAGTCAAGAATTCACCAGACAAGCTTTCATTAAGGTTTTTGATGTGATTGGTCACAAACTCTTGTTCTGGCTAAGCTTACTGCTGTCTAGCAGATTGCAGCCCAGAACTGGAAGTAGCATATTAGTCTTCTTATCAGTAGAATATGTAAACTTTCTGAATGTTTTATTCTGTATGAACGATCATGCATTTTGGCAGCTTTAGGAAGAATTGGATTATAATCAGGTAATATCCCTGGGGAAACGGATTAAATAGATTAAAAGGTGAAAACTAGGATTATGTTATTTAAGTATAGGTCTGGATGGGTGAAAATGCGACTGAAGATGGTGTGGCCACATTTTCTCTAGTGAGTAAACTCCTCTCTGGACACAGAAGAGTTCTGTGTCACCAAGAGATGCTCCATGTTCTCTCTTGTTTCCAATGTAGTCCAAAATGTTTCCAATGTAGTCCAAAACTCGTTCCTGTTTAGCGTATTTTCTTGGTAGTCATTCACCTGCTTCCTGTCAGGCTATTTCTATCAGTCAAAAAACTCAGTGATGTCCCTTGTCCCGGTACCAGTCAGGCATCCCTGTTCAGTGCCCCTGGAGGGCAGAACAGAGGAGGGTGTTATGAGGCCAGCCTTTCCCTTATGGAGCTGGTAGAAGATAAAACCCCAAACTTGATATTAATAAAATCTCTTTGTGTCATGACCAACTGTAAACATGGGGGAATTTTTATTAGGTTATTTTAAACCTCTTTTTCTCTCTCTGTGAAATACAGTTTGCTTGTGTTTTCCTCATATACAATGAACTTTTAATTTGCTTCTTCCCTTGTAGGTTGTTTATTTTGGTGACAGCATGCACTCAGATATTTTCCCAGCTCGTCACTATAGCAACTGGGAAACTGTCTTCATCTTAGAGGAGCTTCTAGGGGACAAAGTTACAGTGCCTGCAAAGGCTGAATCTGAGCCCTTGGAGAAGAAAGGAAAATATGAGGTAAGGGTTCCTTGCAGAAGTTTCCTGGAACAGAATAAAGTAAGTTACAAAAAAGCCTCATGCCACCTGCACTGAGAATGAACCTGCTTATCTCACCATGCTGGCAGCATCAGCATCCCCCACAGACATATCCTTCTTGCCTTACCAGGAAGATGCTGTTCTGTCCCAGCTTAGGCCTTGCATGAGTGACACAGAGCTTCTACTCAGACCTAAGTCATGGATCTCAGCAAAAGAGCTGTGTGTGCTCTCCCTTAGCAACAACCCATAGTCTTCTCCTTTTTAGTAACAAGAACCTGCCCTCCATCCTACAAGGAGAAATTTCATGGACACTTATCACAAGTCCAGCACCTGAATTCTGCTGAGTTCATGGCATTTCCCTGTGTGTTGTGGCCAACTGTAAACACAGGGGAATTTTTATTAGATTGTTTTAAAGTTTGCTTTCTTTCTCTGTGAAGTACAGCTTGCTTGTGCTTTCCTTGTATACAAAGAACTTCTAATTTGCAGCTTACCTCATAGGTTGTTTATTTTGGTGACAGCTGCACTCAGATAAGAGGGACTGTTTCGAAATTGTTCCAGTGTAAACTGCTGATAGTTACTTCAGATAAATGATGTGACTTTGAGGTTGATCGCAGCTGGGAAGCAGGGCCTTAGCATTACTGCCACCCTTTAATTCTCCCACAGAACTTGAAAAATTACTATGGTTTATCCTCCTCTCCACTGGCAAAGAACAAAGTAGATAGGGAACAGCACTCATATGGATGATGTGGCAGCATTGTACCTCCAGCACTGTAGGTAGGAACTGCAGTGCAGCTTCACTCTCTGTTTGGAGCATTTTAATTTTATATGCTGCTAAATAAATGGGTCATTTTCTTCTAGTTGCAGAGAGATGTATGTGCTTTTTGCACTTTGCTTTGTAAAGCACTAGGCTTGATTTTTCTGTTAAAATAAGTACTCTTTATGATTAAAAAGTTAACTTACTGATAGAAAAAATTTGTGGAGGTAGTTTTATACTAGTTATCTTTTTAATCTGACTAAGAAGTGTTGTAAAAACCAGTTTTCAATGGAGAAAAGGATATCTTCAATGGGACTAAAACAATATAGATATGATACCTATTGCTCTACTTTTAATAGACATATCTTATATTTTCACCCATTATCCTGATTTCTAAACTAAGGTCAGACAAGGACAGTTCAATCACTGAAATAAGGAAATGTAATCATTGATGTTTAGGCTTTTTCCTAGGTTGCAGAAAAACAAAAATTAAGACAAAGAAACTCAATCTCCTATCAAGAAAAATGTGTTTCTTGGTAAGAAAGGTCAGAGGCAGGTGGGGGGAAGGAAGACTTATTAGTAGCACTACATGGGTCAATATAATTTGATTTGAGGAATTAATGCTTTAAAAATAACTCACTCTCCTCCATAACTTTGTTCATTCTCTGACTGGAGATTCTACTACATTGCTGCATTTTTGTGAGGTTTCTGGGATTTTATTCAACCGTGGTTTCTTAAGCATTTAGATGGACAGCCAGAAAATGTTTCTTTTCCTGGAAGTACAAAGAAAGAGTAATTGAGCAATGTGTTTCTAAGCCCATGATGATGATTTGGTTTTCTCATATTGAAAAAGCTCTGGTCAACTGCTCACAGGATCCATCTTCTCTATCACATCAGTTATCAAGCAGGAAATTGAGACTTTTAGACATGTGCTTGACATTTCACTGATGCTATAGTATTCCTGTCTCGGGAGACACCACCCCTGCCACACACAACCCCTGTTCAGTGTACATCCGCTACCAGTGACAGCAAGTAAGCAAGGGAGAAATGAATTGTGTTGATTAAAGGAACCTGAACCAGGGGGGCCATGGCAGGTCAGTGGTGTTATTTCATTACCACGCTGCTCACTGGAGTCTGAACAACAGGTCACATCCATATCTCTGCAGTTGACTGGACACCACTAACTTAACAGGACTAGTTCAAAGGGTCTCCCTTTACAATCCTATGGAAGTTTTATTTTCATTCCCCCAAGCAACTTCTCCCATTAACCCTTTGGTTAGGAAGGGAGAAAAGCCAATTCAAATGAGTGTATGAAGTCAAGTGTTTTTGGTGAATTAGTCACAATCAGATTAGTTTTCATCTGATCCATCAGCCTTAGCATTGGCAATAAAAAAAAATACACTGCTCTGTGTGTGTAGAGAGGGACTGAAAACTTAATACATGACACAATCCTCAATTCTATCACTCTTTATAAAATGCTATTAAAGAAATAAAGCATTACTTTAATTTGCAATTGCATCTTTCAAAAGGAAATTATAAAAATCTGTTTCCAGTTGTTTGACTGGTGTTTCATCACTAAAAGAGGGAGGGGAAGAAAACAACCTTCTCACACACAAATTGGGACTTGTAATTTCCATTTTTATTGGCAGTTTTTGTCTTTCCCCTTCAATTATATGCATGATATAAGCCAGATACACATAACTGTGAAATTATGGTAACAACTACAATTCTTTTAAGTGTATGAGTCGTAACCAAATAAGCAAGAGAATAGCAAATTAAAAACTATTCATGCAATTACTTGGCTCCTAAGTGAATTGCAGCATGCAGGGGGAAAAAAAATATGAAGCATTGTGTTGAAACAAGATTTCCCCCCCTTCCCAGAATCGGGGGTTTGTTTGCTTGACTGGAGGCTTTGGTTTTGCCTTCTGTTCTTTAAATGTGTGATCAATTCCATCAATGAAAACTCAAAAAAAAGCTGGAATTTGTCCCAGGATTTTGAGGGAAATTGTTGCAGAGGAGCTGTAAGAATCTTAGGCTATAGGAATGAATGGAGCAGAAATCAAAGAATTTTTTAGTGGATATAGATGACATTTTTGCAGTTGGAAGGGAGAATTTAATTTTTACAGTATTGCCTAGTGGCTGGTTGGTTGTAGGGGTCAGGGCCCTTATTCCTCTGAATTTCCATTACTCTCTTGTTGTGAGCATAGACAAGGCTATTTACTTTGTGCCTTTTGGCTCTGTTTGTCTCTTTATTCCTGTTTAACACAAATCCAACAGTACTTTCAGGAATAATCTGATGTGCTGTTGTGGAGCCTGGTGAGTTAAAGCAATGTCCTTAAGGCAATATGCTGAAGTGCAATGCATTTTATTTTAAGTCTGCTTATAGTGATCCATATGGTAGTTTAGGTACAATAATCATTGGTGAAATGTTTTATATTTGCACGTGACTTGTAAGCGTGCAGGTTCTGTGCAACAGACCAGTGGCTGACTTGTCCATTTGCATACCCAGCACAGGTGTGTTATTTAGGAACACCTGGTTGTTGTGACTAGCACAGCTGTGCTGGCAGCAACATTTCACATACTTACTGTTATACCAGCAAAACTGTATTTTGAGCATTGATTTTTTTTCTAGCAGGAGTCGGTGATGGTGTTACTACCTTGGCACAAAGCATGCAGCCATCAGTACCATCCATCATATTGGATGCCGTGAAGTATTCCTCATGCTCTGTGCTTGGTACAAAGATGATGGCATAGATGGCAAATCTCCATCTAAATAAAGCCTTTAAAAAATACTAACAGCTTGACTTTTCACTCCTGTCTCCCTTACATCTTTTTTTTTTCATCTCTTTACCAAATGTAGAAAAGCTTCAGAGCTCAGCTCCCTGCCTACTTGTATTTTAGAAAGGTCATTTGTAAGTTGAAAAATTAGTGTTACCCAAGGGTCCTATTAACAGATTCTGTCTGCTCTGTTAACAGGCCCTATTTGTCTGCAGTTAGTAAAGCAAAGGTGACAGTAAGTATTCCAGGTGTTTTGATTTAGTGGAAGATCCTGCAACTTGGGGAAGCCTGGTACCATTTGCTTGAAGTCTAGACTTTTCTTCGAGGCTTTGTACCCTCAACTGATACAATCAATGTTTGACCTACTACTGTCTGACCAATATACTTGGGAGCAAACCCATATGCCTGGGGGATTTACATGAGAAAGAGGGTTTGCTCAGCACTTCCCAGGATCCACTGTCTTGCTGTGAGAGCAAATCTCATGTCTGGGGGCTGCAGGAGTGGCTGGTGCATCTTCCAGAGATGCTCAGCCCCACTGTTGAGCATGTGCCTCCAGGCATGTGAGGAGTAGACATGTTAAGAGCAGACTTTTGCCTCATTTCACAGATGTAAAGATTCATAATACGTGGTCTGTCCTTATTGCAGGCTATGTGAACTGCCCATGAGATACGGGCACTTTATGGACTTCAGGTAGGGATGGCAGTGGGAGTGATATCTGATGCTTCCTAATGGTGTGGGCAAAGTTTTGACAGCTCTTTTCAGATTTGAAATCAAGATTTAGCCTGCCAAACCTGCCCTGTAATGTGGAGACAAGCCAGTAGCAATGGCTTATGATGATGGGAGCTCTCTACCACGTGACTTGATAACAAGTCTTATATCTAATTGGATTTGGTTTTACTAAGGACTTGGGTTGTAAATCCAAGACGTAAGTCCCCCCTCTTAGTAAGGAAGAAATTCCCATGGTGAGATTTAAACCTCTGAAAAAATCAGTTCATGTCCTAAGGTTGCATTTTTAATTGCCTGTTGAACCAACCATGCATTTCAAAAAGCAAGACCCTCACATTTTTTCTCTTGTCAATAAACAAGGCCCTGTTTTTTGTGCAAAGGCTTGTATGGGCCAGTATTAGGATTGCTGTTTCGATTAATCACCTGAACAGCTGAAGAGTTTTCTGCATATGTCATCCAGCTGGCAAATGGATTTTAAGTCAGCACGGCATCTACATTTAATTATAACTGATGTAGAGACCTGGAATTTGCATGGAAAGATGAGATTTGGCAAAAAAAGAAAAAGTGAGATGCTGTCCCTTTGTGTAAGGGGGGGAAAAAAAAAAACAACACAAAAAGCCTGGGACTTAAATTAAATTCTTGCTTTGAAACAAAAGATAGGAGTTTTTTTTCAACTTATTTACATCAGAAGACAGAAACTAATATCTATATTTGTTGAAATCACACCTCCTCCCCACCCCCAGCTATGCTCAGAGGAAAAACTGTTACACAGACTCACAAAAGAATGGTTCTGTGTTTGCTGACATGGTCTGTTTGGGTGGATCAACAGTTACTTGTCATCAAAAGATACAGGCCTCTGTTATAAACACAAATGATTCCAGCAGATTCTCAAAACTATTAAGAAAGGGGTTAAATGGAAAATAAAGTACAAAAGTTTACAAATCTGGAGGCACACTACGATATTTGTTATTCTATGCTTTGAAGGTCTGAGAAGTTACTTTGCACTCAAATGACTTTAACAGATTTTCTGTAGCGTAGTTCACAGGGTTTTTTTCCAGTTTTTCATCTTTCTGTAGATGTCTCCTGGATTTTTTTCTCTGGTTCCTCATGACAGTATATAACAGGTTGCAGGAGGAACTGGTAAAAAATCAGTTTTCTCAATGTTGTGTTAGTGCTTTCTTTAAAACATAATTAGTCTAGATGTTGTTTTCTGAAAATATACATGAAAAATTCAATTTTTCAGAATTTGCTAGGCAACCGAGTGGCTCTCCATGAGTTCTGTGGCTCTGTTTTCACTCTTTCTTCAGTTCAGAAACAGATAACACAGATGCCATTCATCACAGTTACTCCATCCAGCACCAGGAAGCTCCTTTTCCCCGAGGAGGACATCCAGGATGTGTTACAGTCTGTGCCGCAGCTACCCAGCCTCTCCAGTGGAGAAGGGCAGCAGGCAATTCACACTATCTAAAAGAGAAAAACAGGGAAAATGGAAGTTTTTTTTAAGGGAAAAATATTTAAAGTTAACTTTTTGTGTCCTAAGGAATCCATTAATTGCATAAAGAGAAGCTTGGGGACTTTTAAGAGGAAGACTGTTACTGTCTTTCATTACATTTTAAAGTCAAATTGCTCCTGAGATACAATACAGGTTTCCTAGAAACTAGAGTTCCTTAAACTAATGCTTGTGGATGGATAAAGAAGTTTTTTGGTTGTTTTTTATTTTGGGGAGTTTTTTTGAGCTTACATATTTATTTATTTTTCTTTCAGGGAGATCAGCTCAAAGCTCCTTACTTCATATCTAAACAGTGGGGCTCTTTCTTCATGGACAGAGTACCAGGCCTGGAAAATGCAGAGGAAACCTTAGTTCACACATGGTCCTGTAAATGTATTAGCACTTACAGCACTATTGCAATCCCTAGCCTTGAAGCAATAGCAGGTAAGGAAGATGGTGGGGGGTTTTTCCTAATGAACATGTAGTATTCATAGGAAATTGGTAATGCTGTAGATCTGATTTTGAGATTACATGTATCTAAAATACATTGGAAATACTTTGTTCATATCTTGCAACAGTGCAAGTGGCCATTGATTACTTTGATGTTTGTGCTTTTGATTGTTGTCCGATACAGGCAGGTTTTTTGTTTGTCTCTGTGAATATTAGATGTTTAATTTATGTCCTGTTAGAAATAGGATGCAACATTTAACAGATGGTAGATGAGTTCTGAACTTGGTCAGGATTTCCTCTGACCAAGTATCTTACTGTTTCTACCTTCAATGGTGAATTAGATTAGGAAACAAACACATATAAAGTCACTTGAGGTTTTTATACTTCCAAATATGTTTCCCTCTAATCTGCCTTGTTATACTTCCTCAGTCAGCTCACTATAACTTTGCAACTGCCATACATGTCAGAGGATCATGAAGGGGTGGTGAAGACCCTCTATCTATATATCCTCTATCTATATATCCTCAGTCTGTCATTTTGCAGTACTGAATTTTGTCGATACCTGTACCTAAAGAGATAAACAAATTATTACATGAATGAGGTGCTTAGCAGCAAGCATTTAGTTTACTAACCCCTCTGTTCAGCATCTGTTGCCTACTTCATGCATAAGACCAAGGAGTAAAAGGTTTGTTGCAAGAGAGCATTTCAGACTTGCCCAGCAGTTATTTCTACAACAGGACACATGATAGACCTGTTCTTTGCAACCATATTTTACACATGCGCTTACATTGTAAGGATATCTCAAAACAGAGCAGCCATACAGAGTCACAATTTATTTATGCTTCTGATAATTTGCCATTTTGCAGTCTGTATTTCAGCCTAAAGGTACAAAGCCAAAATATACCGAGGGAAATTGGTAACAGAGGGATAACTTCTGTAAAACTCCCATCTAATACTTTTCCATGGCCATCCTGTGGCTTGCTTTGGAAGTGTTGGCCAAGATAAAACACATTGGTCAGTCACACTCTGAAACTCTTCCTCCCAGCCAGTTCCCTGTAAACACAGCTCAGTTTGCAGGACTAGCAAGGGCTCTCAACCACAATGTACCACCACCTTTCCAGCTACAGATGAAGGGGTGAGAACCAGAAGGGCTTATCTGGGTAGTTAGTGAGTAGGATAGCTGCCTGTCATCGGCAGTGGAGCTCTTGCAAAGCCTGTTCCTCCATTAGGAGGGACACTGGGTGCTGTCTGTCTCTGCACTGAACCACTGCTGGGGCAGGGGCTGATGTCTGTGAAAGTTAAACCCCAGTGCTAAAGGACATGGGAGAAATAACGTTTTTAACTTGCAGCTGTGTGCTCGAAAGCAGAGTCAAAGCTGCAGGTACAAGAACATTGCTGCTTTCTTACAGAGAGAGGTATTTCTTGTTTGTTTGTGTGGAAGAGCAGATGTTTGTTATTATGGATGCTGAGGAATTTCTGACTCCTCTTGAATACCTTGTCTGACTCCTGTCACAGCAAGCTGCGAAAGACCCTGCTTTGCCAAGCCCTGAAGTTTTTGGCTGCAGTTGTAAGTTCATAGTTTAGCTGCAGCTATTTGGGAATAGCTAGTTAGAAGAGATTGAAACAGGTTATGTGAGTTTGATGTGCTCCAGCTTTCTCTTTTCTATTCATCTACTTTAATTGCCAGCAGAGGACTTTCCACTGCCAAGCTGCAAAAACGCAGGCCTTTCCTTAAGATTCCCTCAGCTCAAACATGCAGCCAGGCTGCTGGCATGCTGGCCATACAAGTCCAGCTCCCAGTCACTCACATGCTGGCCATGCAAGTCCAGCTCCTAGTTATCTGCATGCTGGCCATATGAGCCCAGCTCCCAACCAGTGGTGCGCTGACGGCAAGCTCAGCTCCAGGTCACCAGCTGGCTCAGCCTTGGCAGCACCTGCCTCAACCTGACCCCGCCAAACAAGCTGCCATCTCACTGGAGATGTGCTGCAGCCTCCTATGAGCTGGGGTTTGACCAGAGCTTCTCTATCAGCAATGTCTGACCTGGCTTTTGTACATCTATGTGAGCAAGTGTAAGAGCCACATACAAGTAAGTATCCCAACAGCTTGCGATCCAAAAAATATTTGGTGAAATGCAGACAATTGCTGCAGTGGTAACTTCAAAATTGGTTCTTGTTGTTTGGGTGCAACATGTATCTTGTTCATAAAGAATAACTTGGTTTACTTCTCAAGGCACATTTTTCATTAAAAAAGATTATTCCAAAAAGTATTCAGCATTATTGAATACTAGCAACGTTTTACAAAAATAACTCAGTTTTCATCAAAATTCATATGAGAATTCAGAGAGTTATCAGAAATTAATTTTGGGTAAAAAAGCCCTTCACGCCTGTTTCCCTCTTTTTTAAAGAGAGGAAATATGCAAAAAACTAAAAATAAGCTATATATCTGAATTGAGAAATTGAGATAGAAGAAACTTTGACCATCCTGTTTTTTCAGCAGCATGTTGTAAGTTTGGTGCAGGTGGCTTCTGATAATTTCACCTGAAGAATTTATGCATGTAACTAAAGTGTACAATCTCAATGTTACCAAAGGGCATTATAGAAAAGAGTATTATAAGGAATGCTGCTGCTGGCGTTCTTGTCCATTCAAAGTATAAAATAACAAAGCATGTACACAAATTGGAAATTCAGTATCTGACTAAAAAGGGGTTTGCATTCAAAGATGTATCAGAAATGCTGAACTTATTCTCACCTTCTCAAGGAAGGTATTAGTGAGATTACATATTACTGCATCACAGTTTGTCATCTAAACTCCCTTGAGAGTCCCTGGAGAGAAAGAAATTGGCATTTTCCTTGTGCATGAGAAAGTATATTTTGCTTATTGCTAAAATTGCCCAAAGGAGATCTTCTGTGTGTATTTCTCAGTTTAGGGTGCAAATCAGATACAGGCTATATTGACAGTACATGGTTAATAAAATAGTAGAAACCAATGCCCCTACTCCTATTCTATGTCTCATTCACAAATCCATCTGTTTCTCCACTTTTCTGCTATTGAATCTCTCCTCATTTACAGCTCCCTTACAGATTTTGACCATTTTCAAGCACAATGATATCATAAGACAGATTTTCCATACCAGGATCCATTACTGTGGGAATGTTACATTAGAGTTCCCACAGGAAAATTAAAAGGTGTAAGGGTCTCTCTGAAAACAGCATTTTGCATAAACCACAGCTTCTAAGATGTCCTTCTCCACTTCAGAAAGTTAGGTATGAGCCAAGTAGAGGTGAATTGTTCTTTTTTATCCTACTTGAATAATTTGAACTTAACTTCAAGGAAGGTGTCCACTACTCTTTGATCTTTTGATCAAATTTCCAGATACTCATAATAAAACCCAACAATAATTTCAATTATTTCAAAAGTACCATTTCAGATGGTTATTTGATTAAGAGTTCTTCAATACCAAAATTGATACACATATTTCAAGTTAATGCTTTCCCTTTTAATCTCATTACCGTTGGTAGTTTTATAAAAGTCCCACTTCAAAAAATTGCAGGAGGAGTTTTAGAGCTTAGAGGGAATTTTGGAAGGTTTTTTTGTACTTCATTGCAAAGAAAAGCTAAAGAAAGTGGGCTCTAAATCCTAATAAGAAAAAAGCAAAAAACTTTTTTCTTTTTAATTACATGATTGTTAACCTAATCTCCTGAACTTGTCTCATAACCACTGAATGATGAGGTCTGTTATAGGATTAAAAATTACCACAAGCAAGAATACAAGATTGAGTGATGTTGCGGCTCAAGAGAGTTTCATTTCAGATAAGAATTAGTGCAAATAAAATGTAAAATGTTTTATGGAGGCAGAGTTCATTTCACACTTTGGAGGTTTGATAATCAAGCTTGTGTCATGCATGAGGATAATACATTTTTTTAAATTTTGCATGCCATATGAAATCTTATCAGGGTTTGCCCATATGGCTGCAAAAGTTTTTCTTCATGCATTATTGTTATTTCAGTTAGCTAGAACAAGAGAAAAATCTCCATTATAATTTATCAAATCTGTCTCTTTAAAGTTGCCTGCACCCTGCCACTTTCTGCGGGAGTTTGAGTCATCATCCTGCTTGCTGTATAAAAATAATGATAAAATTGCCAGTGAACCATGACAAAGAAGTTCATGTTTCTGCTTAGAGTTGCAAATTATCTGCACAATGGAAAGCCCAAGGCAGACGTGGCTGGGGCTCCAGAACTGGCAGTGTGTGGGTTGCAAATACACAGGTCTGACCATCACAGATCAACTATGAATTGCAAACTTCACACACCATCTTCTATATGTATTTTAAAGGTGGATGCCCTTAAGGAATCAACTATTACCACAGAAATCATGAACTTCACTAAGCATGTAGCCATATACTCATTTCTATGTCCTGAACAGCATCATTCATAATTGTTGCTGAAGTAAAACCAAAAAATCCCTCATATTTTAACACTTAACTTCTATGTTTTTTTCATTGACATTACATCATTTAAGGTCAAACCCAGCTCCTATTAAAATTAAATTGGTCTGTCCTGTAACCAGATTGATAATTATGTACTCTTATTCAAATAATACAATAATTTCTTTAAACATATAGAACTATATATATTATACATTGCTAATTAGAAGTAACCTTTAATGCCTTTTCTTACAACCGTGCTTTTACTTACCAGTGTAAGAATGTATCTATACAATAACATCTAAAGATTAAATTTATCAAAATGCTTTGGGAATTTAAACTGCTTTGGGTCTTAGCTGCTATAAATAATAGTTGCTACTACAAGGCCAAAGAGGTCATTTTTATAATTAAACCTTTTATTTAAAAAACATATTTTTATGTCTGGTGAAAAATTGGTGTATATACACAACAGCAACGTTTCTGGGGTTTTCTGGTTCGGAGGTTTCATGCAAGGAAAAAAAACAGATAAAGATAACTGACTAGGGAGAAGATACATGTTCTGTATATATG